ATCACTTGCATTTGCCTCAAACAAAACGGTGGCGCCCAGCCAAGACGATCTGAGCGATAATCAAGATCTATGTTGTGATAAAACGAGTCTTACATCGCGAAGTGCATCAAATCACGCGAGCACCTTGATTAAAAACATGAAAAGATTTAGAAAATATCTGTTGACAACGAGTTAGCGGTGCACATGCTTTGCAAATCCTGCAGTCGACCGAAATCTGCATTGAACTTTACGTACCGGATTTCGTTTTCGGTTCCGTGATTTTGATTGGACTATGCATAGACTCGTTAGTCCAGCCAAATTGTAACTCCATAATACCAGCCTAGTTCGGCAAGGGTGGAAACTGGACTTTTATAGTCAGTTAACTCCCTTGCCTCGGGAAGATGATTTCCTTATTGAATACGTTGCGGTATACAACGAAACCCCGTTAATCCGAACAATATACTGGTCACATCCTGTGTGAGTAACGAAGCACAGGCATGGAGGCATGTCCCCTTGTAATACTGTTTACTGTGTGGTAACAGTGACTTTTTACAGTCTGTGTTTTCTTATCACCTACCCACCCATAAAAAATATCCACTAGATATCAAATTCATTCCTTATGGCAATGCTGATCTCTCAATGGCTGAAAATGAATATTCTAATGTGTGAAGGCCTTATCATAGATATTCTATTCTTTTCAATGCCTTCTTCTTGCTATTGCATATATTTAAATTGTTACGTGACTGTATATTGTAGTTCTGACAATGACAAAAATTGATTGAGGCGCTCGTATAATGTTAAGTTTTGGTAGTGACCCCGATTTAGAGTGCCCTCCCTTGGTTGTTTTTATTGTCCAAACTCCACCCCAGCGTTTGCAACTTCATTATCTCCCCGGTAAAGAGAGCTCAGCTGTGATGAATATGACTTGCTTGCAGTTATCAACTTCTGGAAAACTACGTTATCTACTTGCCATGTGCTGTTTCCTGGATTCGAGAACGGAGAATGTGCCTTATTCAAGACAAACACTTATGACAAATCCAAATCTCATTAAAATCAGATCTTAGTTCTCCTATCGTTTAACAAAGACATTCCACAAAGGTCACGTCAGAAAGACCTTCCAACCAACCAATCAGAGCATCGCTTATCAGATCATGAAAGTGACAGTCAAATGTGATTTCAAATCATGCAACCTCGAAAACTTTAACACGGGGTATTCCGAACGAAAGTTGCGGGTTTTACGACTGCATCCATGCAATCTAGACCATCTATTAGCCAGTCCAGAATGTTCTTTTGTTCAGGTTTAAAATTTTTAATCGAGAATTTGTCAAAATATGTTTCCAAGGGTAGTCGCCAATTTGAAATTCGTGCCATAAAGCAGGAGAAAGCTGCCTTCTGACTGGCAAATGTCGACTTCTTGTCCGTCATTCCATTGGTCGGTCAAAGTTCGCACAATCCTAGACATTTTGTGAGCGCATCGATGTTCATAATAAAGTGGTTGACATAATGATCAACACTTAACACTGCCAAGTACAATGACACCCTGTCAACTAGTGGGTGACAAAATGATCAACATTTCACACTACCAGGTACGATGGTGCACTATCAACCAGTGGTTGACATATTGAGCAACAGTTCACACTGCCAGGTACAATGACGCACTATCAACCAGTGGTTGACATAATGAGCAACAGTTCACACTGCGGGGTACCATGACACACCATCAACCAGTGGTTGACATAATGAGCAACAGTTCACACTGCCAGGTACAATGACGCACCATCAACCAGTGGTTGACATAATGAGCAACAGTTCACACTGTCGGGTACAATGATGCACTGTCAACCAGTGGTTGATGTAATGAGTGACAGTTCACACTGTCGGGTGCGATGACACTATCCACAAAGTTAATGAAATTGAACATCCAGTCTAATTTAGTCAACTCTATTAACAAGCAGCAGAGTGTTTGGGACCAGATCTATTCAGACTAACCTGGGTCCCCATGGAGTAGGGTAGCAGAACAAGACTCACTCTAAATTTAATTCATATTTTTATTAATTGGTCAAAAATATATATTTAGAATAATACTTATTAATATACAGACATTTGTCAACTCAAGTGACCATAACAGATGAATAACAATGATTAAAACACAACAAACAAGCTATAACCACTTCATGACAAGTTCATACTGTGTGTACTGTTTCAGTACTAATACATATTTGTGTCCCTTGACTTTCGCTCCTGGACCAAGGTGAGGGGTAGTCCATTATTTAAAAGTACTGCTTCCTCAAACCTGGATGTCAAGGACAATTCAAGTGATGCACGTCATGGACACTTGCCATTTTGTGCAAGGCAAGAGTGTAGTGCTGACAAAGTAATAGGGCAAACCTTGGATCCTGCCACAACTAAGGGCCACAACTCCACTCACCATAATTTCTGATGGTGACGGATCAACAACAAACAAATAACAGCATCACATGAAGGTGTCAGAACTTCTGCACTGGAAGTGAATGATACCACTCAGGGCTCGATATAAATGTGCAAAACATGCACCCGTGAAACCTATTATTGAAAAACGCAACCTAATATTTATGTCTACATGCACCAAGTGCATGTGAAAATATCTTTAATTTGTGTCCAACTAACCCTTTCTTGTCCACACAACATCGATCTTTGCACACACTGAGTACCTCAAAGTTTTATGTAACATACATCACCAATCTCATTGAAATCAGATCTTAGTTCTCGCTACCCCTAAACAAGGAGCTGAGGACATTCCATTATGGGTCATGTCAGACCGACCTTTTGTGCACTTTGGCCGACCAATGGAATGACTAACAAGAATTTGACAATAGCCAATCAGAAGGCAGCTGAATCAAGCTTTAGGGCACTAGTTTCAAACTGGCGACTATGCTTCGAAACATTTCTACATATACTCGATTAAAAAACTACAAACTGAACAAAAGAACAGAATGGCTAATAGATGGTCTAGATTGTATGAATACAGACATAAAGCCCATAACTGTCGTTTGAAATACCCTGTGTGTTTTTTTGTTCAGGTTGCACTTTCATGATCTGATAGAAATGCTAAGATTTGTCAGATGAAAGGTTGGTCTGACATGACCCGCAATGGGATGTCCTCAGATCTTTGTTCAGCGGTAGCAAGAACTAAGATCTGACTTTAATGAGATTGCATACATCACTAATCCCTGTGTTATGTGTAATTTGTCCTGCTTTTGTGACTTCATAAAACTGGGTACTGCAAGATTATGTACATATGTTCCCTTATGTTTTACAGCAATACATCTTTCATTTATGTCAAGTCATGAGAGTGATCACAGATTTGAGATTGGATTTGTTTAGACTAGTTTATGCATCTGTGTTTCAGCTTTGATAAATTGATGGGACCCGAGTGAAGCCTGCTTTTGTCTGGTGCAAATAGGTTTTCATGTCAACAAGCACCTGGGGCATGTTAAATCATGTTGCTTAAACCGAGCCCTGCCACTCACGGAATAACCTTCTTATGTTCTAACAGTCCCATATTGTTTTAACATTGCAACATAGTTTGTGACAAAATCTAACAATGAGTGTGCATCTGGTTGATAGCTGCCAACCCTATCTAGATATTAGTCCTTTCTTTTTTATTCATTTGATTACCGATTTTTTCAACATCTTGTTCGGAGGTTGAAATACAAATAAAATAAATGAGAGACACAAAATGTACAATTAATCGTATCAGAACAATCAATCATTGTACCAGGACAATCAATCCTTATTGCATGACAATCATCAGGACAATCAATCATTGTAACGAGACACTCCACCATAATGTCAGACCAGTCAATCATTGTACCGATGTAAATGGCTGAAACATCCCCCTGAACAGTTCCTCCCCCAGGGAAGGTTCAGCCAACGTGCTCGTCTTACTCGCATCCAGGATCCCCATGAACTAAAAATCCAATTTGCATGGCCTCATGTACAGTATATCTGAAATCTAGAGGGAGGAAGATCTGGCCTGGGTTGAACCATCCCAAACATATGTTCAGATTTCTCGTATACCTGAAATCCAGAGGGAGGGTGGTGGTGGTGGTGGGAGGGAGGGGTGGGGGTCTAGGCTGAAACATCCCTGGGGAAGAACTGGCCTTGGAAGGTTTAGCCTGGTACACCGAAACAATCAACCATTGTCTCAGGACAATCAATCATTGTTTCAGGACAATCATTAATTGTATCGGAACAATCAATCATTGTACCAGAACAATCAATCATAGTATTAGGACAATCATCAGGACAATCAGTCAGTTTCAGAACAATCAATCATTGTCTCATTACAATCATCAGGACAATCATTCACTGTATCAGGACACTCAACCCTATTCACTACAGCCACTACATTTGGCACACAAAAAATCTAATTGTAGCATAATGAAAATGTCACTTTTTGCGAAAATTCATTTTTGGGGCAGATACACAGAAGAATTTTCTTTTCTTTCGTGAAATCCTACTTCTAACGCTAATGAAATAATGATCTTAAAACATTCTGAGAGGGAACTCAAAACAATTAATAATGAAATTCATTCACAAAATGTAAAACTGAAACACTTTCATCCAATGATTGAAAAAGAAACAAAAGTTTAGGATGGATTGAGTGGGATTTCAAGTCCATTATCCCACTGAAGCCTTGAAGCATGGACACTTCTCTGACTCTACTCTGAAACACTGTGTGCCCTGGTCCTGGAACAGTGATGGAGAGATACAACACCCTCCTGCAGTCAGGACATGAGCTGATAATCAGTACTTGAGCATAATATAATCAGCATGTGGGTGTACCATCGGTTTTCAGGCTTGCTATGAGTACCAAGACGTACCGTCTGTCTCCTGGCTTGCTTGAGTACCAAGACGTACCGTCTGTCTCCTGGCTTGCTTGAGTACCAAGACATACCGTCTGTCTCCTGGCATGCTTGAATACCAAGACGTACCGTCTGTCTCCTGGCTTGCTTGAGTACCAAGATGTACCATCTGTCTCCTGGCTTGCTTGAGTACCAAGACGTACCATCTGTCTCCTGGCATGCTTGAGTACCAAGACGTACCATCTGTCTCCTGGCATGCTTTGAGTACCAAGACGTACCGTCTGTCTCCTGGCTTGCTTGAGTACCAAGACATACCGTCTGTCTCCTGGCATGCTTGAATACCAAGACGTACCGTCTGTCTCCTGGCATGCTATGAGTACCAAGACGTACCATCTGTCTCCTGGCTTGCTTGAGTACCAAGACGTACCATCTGTCTCCTGGCTTGCTATGAGTACCAAGACGTACCGTCTGTCTCCTGGCTTGCTTGAGTACCAAGACGTACCGTCTGTCTCCTGGCTTGCTATGAGTACCAAGACGTACCATCTGTCTCCTGGCATGCTTTGAGTACCAAGACGTACCGTCTGTCTCCTGGCTTGCTTGAGTACCAAGACGTACCATCTGTCTCCTGGCTTGCTTGAGTACCAAGACGTACCGTCTGTCTCCTGGCATGCTTTGAGTACCAAGACGTACCATCTGTCTCCTGGCTTGCTTGAGTACCAAGACGTACCGTCTGTCTCCTGGCTTGCTTGAGTACCAAGACGTACCGTCTGTCTCCTGGCTTGCTTGAGTACCAAGACGTACCGTCTGTCTCCTGGCATGCTTGAGTACCAAGACGTACTGTCTGTCTCCTGGCTTGCTATGAGTACTTGGGCATGCCGTCCCCCTGGTGGTACCGGTGCTGCTGTGGGGGGTAGAAGTACTGCATGGGGGGAGGAGCATATGTCTGGGCAGCCCGCCGGTCCACCGTCTGGTTCATGATGGCCGCCAGCCCTTCCTGCATGAGAACCATCTCTCCACTCTCCCGCGTGAACACTGATGAGTATGTGTGCCGTGAATCCAAGTGTGGCGGAATTGTATCGCTCATAATCTGGTGCTGGGAGTCCAGGCCCTCCACAGTGTACGGCTTCTTCCCTGTGCAGGAGTCCATGTGGCCATAGTAAACTGGGTCAGCTACTGGCAGCATCAGTGGCTGACCTTGAGATGCCAGAGGAGGAGGCGGCCCTTCAGGTGCTTGTGCAGGGTCGGATGGTGGCCCTGAAGGAAGGCCCTGAAGAGGTCCCTGTGGAGGTCCCTGTGGAGGTCCCTGTGGAGGTCCCTGTGGAAGGCCCTGAGGAGGTCCTGGAGGAAGCCCTGGATGGATTCCAAGAGGAATCGGTTCTGCAGAGATCGCATCATCTGACCTCATCTCATACCCTGATGATGTTGGAATCACAGACTTTCGTATACTTTCTATAGATTCAGCATATTCTTGTAATACCTGGTCATGGCTCTCTGCACTAAGGTTTGATGGAAGACTGCATCCTAATGACTTGGAATCTATAGTTCCTGGTTCCAACTCGGGAAGACCTGCAAGTTGATTTGGATCAATACTGACAGCAATGTGAGGTGATGCTCGCTTCTTGTTAATGTTCTTGTGCCTGGCCTCGTGTCTGCGGACCTCCTTCCTGTTGATGAACCCTTTACCACATATAGAACACTTGATGAGAGTGTCAGGATTATGTCTCTTCATGTGGTCCGCAAGGAACACCGACTTGGCGAAAGCCTTGCCGCAGACATCACAGCCATAGGGGCGCTCTCCACTGTGAAAGCCCATGTGACTCTTCAAGTCCTTGTTGTTAGGGAATCCCCGGTTACACAACTCACAGTAGATCAAGATCGTCTTGCAGAACTTCCGCTGATGAAGCTTGAAGTAGGTGGGATCAGCGTAAGAATCTCCACACATGTGGCACTGGAGGAGGTTCTTGCCTGAATGCGTTTTCTTGTGTATTTCAAGATAGTACACATTTCTATATTTCTTTCCACAAATGTCGCAGTCATGTCCAGTGTAACCTTCATGCATTAACTTGTGCACCTTTAGCGCCTTGCCAGTTGTGAACCTCTTCCCGCACACTTCGCAGATGAAGTTCTTCAGGCCAAGGTGGATCTTCTTGTGGTTGTGCATCTGGAGGTTGGAGGCGAACTCCTTGTGACAGACATCACACTGGTAGGGCTTCAGCTCGCTGTGGACCACCATGTGTTTGGGAACCGATGTCTTGTAAGCAAAACCCTTCCCACAGATTTCACACAGGTATGGCTTCTCACCTGTGTGGACCCTTCTATGATTCGTTAGATCGCCTGGGTTGATGAAGCTCTTCTGACAGTACTCACATTTATAGGGTTTATCAATGATATGAGTTTTCAGATGACTCTTCAACCTGTTGGCACTGACTAAAGCCTTACCACAGATATTACAAACATAGGACTTGATGCCACTGTGGATGTTTTGGTGATCTTTCAGCGACTTCCCAGACTGGAAAGTCTTGTGACATGTCTCACACTTGTATATGTCGCCATCATGGGACGCTTTGTGCCTCTTCAGAAGGGTCAGGCTCGAGAAACATTGGCCACAGTTCTTGCAGGTGAAGGGTTTGCCCGTCTCGCCTTTGTGTATCTCCTGATGGAGCTCGAAGCTCAACTCATCCTTGAAGGTGATGCCACAGTACATGCAGCGATAGGGTTTGCCGTTTCGGTGCAGGCGAAGATGGTTCTTGAGGAGGGAACTCTTGATGAAGGTTTTGGGGCATAAGGAACATTTGTACTGCTGGTCGGATGACCTCGTCTTTTCGTTTCCCTTGTGGTCTGTGAAAACGTGTGAGCGAAGATCTTCTTCGTCTGTGAATCCCTTCCGGCAGACTTTACAGATGTGGACAGGGATGTTGCTGTGGTAGTTGAGAGTGTGTCGCTTCAAGGCTTTGATTCTATTGAACAGCTTGCCGCATTCCTTACACTGGAAAACCTTCTCTCCGGAGTGTTCCTTCACATGGACAGTCAGGTCGCTCTTCTCCAAGAATGTCAGATCACAGTGCTCGCACTTAAAACACTTCTGCCCTGCGTGACTTCGCATGTGTTTCTGGAGGCCACTCCTCGTGTCCAACACCTCACTGCACACGTCACACGTCAAGTTCTGCACATGCAACATGGAATGAATTGACAACTGGACTTCGGAATCAAACTTCTCAAGGCACTGATCACATCTTATCGCCTTTTCTGTCTCGACTTGTTCTCCAGTATCCTCATCTCTGGTACTGTCAATGCCTGGACAAGCATCGGGGTCATCATCTATACGTTCCACACCAAAACAACCAATATTTTCCGAAACATCATCTTTACAAACAACCTTAACCTTGGTGACCTCTGACTTTTGCCCAAGATCAGCGGGTTCACCCTTCTCTGTGGAAAGTTCCTTGAAAGTTGCTGTCTGACTTCTGTTTGACCCTGACCCAGTATCACAAGCCATTGAACTATCACATTGTGAACACTTGTGTGTTCTATCCTCCGCAAAGATGCTAAATCTGATTTCGGTCCTGTGAGATGTGACACTGTTTCCACACTTCCCGTACATATCCGTGTCATAGACGTTGAGAGCTGCATCCTCACACAGGAACAGTTTCTCATGTAGCTTGTCAAGGGAGACACTTGCTGCCAGTGGGGAGAACCTGACATGGAGATCCAGAGAATCGTCTGTACAGAATGTTTTGGCAAAGTGACACTGCAGCTCGACAATACGTCTCCCCTCGTCAGCTTGATCCATAATCAGGTGGTTGATGGTATGTGTCCTCCACATTCAGAAGAAACTGTCATGTTTGATGTGGTGTAGGGCACGTAGTTTTCTACCTGGATATTATCTGGAAAAAGAAACATGAGATCTGGGTTAGATCATGAGTAACTGCAGATGTAATTTACATGGTCTAAAATCATACTATTTTGGCACCTGTCTTTTAAAAATTATTTTTCATTACACACACATTCAGGCAATGATAGTCAGTTTTTTCAATGATAATCACAGACATACCTAGAAATACCAGTTTTGTAATATTTCATGTCCGAATAAAAATATTTACTTCATTGTTATAATGTAATTTTGTGACATCGACATGACCCTGCAGTGGTGGGCAGAACAGACGATTTAACGTCTTACAACAATGTCATCTCTGATAAACATGCTTGCATCATGCAAGGCTGTCGTAATATCCTGTCCAATGGTGAAAATCAGTCACCAGTAGGGCTGGGACAAGTTTCAAATGTACTACCTGGGGAACCTAACCCCCTATTGCCTGCCCCTGCCCGTGTACCCGCTGTAGGTCTCAAGAGTTGGTTACAAAATGTCTGACCGGCAATTGCTTTACCTGTGCCCTGGTAAAAATTATTTAGATATACTTACAAAGCGATCTGATAATGCAAAAACCACTGAAGTTGACGGAAGCTTTATCTCTACTCAAACATATTAAAATCAGAAGGAATATGCGCAAATAAGAAATAATGTGAACATAAGTGACTTGTAAACATGGAATTCCATGGAATTTATTAAACAATATATGGGCCATTATTTACTGAAGTGACATTCTACTAGGGTGCAGAATTCTGGCTCAGTTTAAAATCATATAAGGGACATAACGCCTTATGTCAAACTTTCTCAGTGTCTTCTGTCAACGAGCACCGCTGAACCAATTTCCAGATGTATTAATTTTGTTGACCTTGCATCACGTCTGTTATTACACGAGATGGACAGAATGAATACTCACAAAACCTTTCCTATTTTGTGCATTGTCTTTTTATTATAAAATTGACAATATTGGATGGTAACATTTTCCAAATATTTAAAAATTTATGATGAAAAAGGTCCTCTCATGTCAAATTTTGTGTCACCTTAGCAAATAATGACCCATATCACCTGACTAGCCATAGGTCTGGAGAGTTCTGAGGGCATCTTCTCGAGGAGGTGACATGGGGTTTAATGTAGCATCCAAGATTATTGCACTTATATAGCAACGTGCATGCACATGTGTGTGGGGCTGCTTGCACTAGTCCGGACTGATGCTGATAACGTCCAGCCAAAATATAATACGAAATTCAAGCCAAGATCCGCAACTGGGTGGAAACTGGACTCTTATAGACAGTTAACTCACTTGCCTCAGGAAGATGACCTGTGGGTACCTAGGTACTACTCAGGACCCCTTCGACCCGAGTCAACTGTCCCAGCCCCATTTACTTGTTGAAATCTCAATACATCAAGTAGTAAGATGCTAGGGATGAGCAGATGATGGACAACAGGAAGCAAGAAAACTACAGCCTCTGGTCTTTCCATTGTCAGATCCAGATGGGACATCAGTATACAGTTCACAAAACTGTTGCCAAATTTGTTAATGACAGAAGAATGTCTTCAAAATTTTATCAATTCATACAAATGTCCAGCAAAATCTCTGTCCAGGGAGGCTAATTTGCGCTAATAAACATCCTTGTCAATTAATCAATTTGCAAAAGGATATAGCATTTCCTTGTGTAATTAATAAGATAGAGTTACGTCGAGGTAATTCTATTCCCACCTTGTTCACTTTTGACTTTTCTGACATTTGACATTTTTGCTATGGTGAACACATGACGATATCAATTTGGAAAGAGTCATTTGGTTCTCTGAGAACATCTCTACGTTAGGTTTATACTTTGGGACCGCATGTTTGGTGCGTTGGTTGGGCTTGGTTACCAGGCGAGCCAAACTGACACGGCTGCATCAAATGTACGGGACGTGTCGGGATTTCTTGGAACAGGCGGGGCGAGTCAGGGTATATCCTGAGTCCGAATAAATACATATCTTCTTGATGACGGAACAATGACATCTCTGAATTCGTACCTAACAATAATATGATCCACTGTTTTCAACAACCACACACAGAACGACAGAACTTGAGAAAACTCCATTCAAAGGGAGAGAATTCAGTGGAAGGTTTAGCCGATGGAGACCACTAAATATGGCATGCAGGTTTCGCATGAATGTTGAAAAGCAAAACACTTTTTTATTAATCCGCGCTATTCGAATATTCCATGTAAACATATTTTTGTGTTCAACTATATATATAACCGCAAAACCGCAAGTGTGACATAAATCAATAATAAATCGAATCAAATCAAACACCCTTTCAACAGCCCATAAAGAGCTTCACAACTTCGTAACCAGATAATAAAAATTCAAGACTGGGTAGGTTTCATAAAAATAACATGAAGGCAGTTCTTAAAAAGAAATTACTTTCTGTAAACATTTATTTGGAGCTTTTCGCCAACATAATCCCAGAAAGCGAACTTTAGGTACAGAAATATGTAGAAATCATTATTATTTGGACAGGTATAATATTAACTTCTCCAAATAGTGACACTGTCGCGACATGTGTAAAAACATCTTAAGTCATGTTGTCTGTTCTGGCGCATCCACGATAATATACTCAACAACAAAAGTTCCTGTGACACCACTATTTTAGTGAATTTTTCAAACAAGTAAAGTTTGGTTTTCAATATTGTAGTATATGTATGGAATCAAGACACAAAAACGCAACTGCTACAGAAAAGCATGCATTCCATGCAAAAGTTGACTTTTATGCAAGCCCCATGCATTTCACTACCCAAGAATGGGTATAAAAACATGTGCTTTAACGGGATTCCATATGCATTGTTTAGCATCGTGCTGACAACAACCACTCAGAAAAACAACAAAATTACTCAATTATTCAACATTACGAAATGCCACGACTGTCCGAAAATGAGCGTCTGCGAGCCATTGGTATGCTTGAAGCAGGATCGAATCAACGTGATGTTGCAAGACAATTTAACGTCCACAGAAACACCATTTGGTGTTTATGGCAACGTTGGCAACAGACGAATGCAGTCAGAGACCATCCTCGGAGTGGCAGGCCACGCGTAACCAATAATCGACAAGACAACTGGATTCGAACAACACACCTACGAAATCGATTCCAGCCAGCAACGTTGACTGCAAGAAGCATCCCTGGCATTCGACGAATATCTTCACAAACCGTACGTCGTCGCCTCAAATGTGCAGGGATTGTCGCCAGAAGACCCGCCAGACGTCCCATTTTGACAGGATACCACCGTCAAGCATGTCTTCAGTGGTGCAGACAGCGTCTACGTTGGACGGCCATGCAGTGGGGACAAGTTCTATTCACTGACGAGTCTCGTTTTCACCTCAGCCACAGCGATGGACGGATTCGAGTGTACCGACGTCGAGGTGAACGTTACGTCAATCATTGTGTCATGGAAGAAGATCGGTTCGGGGGCGGCAGCGTTATGGTATGGGGTGGGATTACAGCAAGACAGAGGACCCGTTTGATAGTGGTAGAGGGACATTTCAATGGACAGCGCTACAGCGACGAGATCATCGGCCCTGTTGTTCGACCGTTTTTGCGTCGTCATGGCCCAGGCATTACCTTTCAACATGACAACGCCCGGCCTCATATTGCTCGACTTGTTCAGGATTCTCTTCAACAAAACAACGTGAATGTCACCCCCTGGCCGGCTCGTTCCCCTGATCTCTCACCAATCGAGCACATGTGGGATGAGATGGATCAGCGCCTTCGACGTCAACCACGTGTCCCACAGACACTCCAGGAACTTCGATACATGCTCCAGTAGATATGGACAGATATCCCACAGGACTTTGTGCGATGCCTGGTCCATTCCATGAGACGAAGATGTGTTGCTTGCATCGCAACCAGAGGTGGACACACACGCTATTGATTTGTAAATTGACATTTTGGCATGTTCATGGTTTGTTTTTTTATGAAATCACGCATTTTCTGAAGTCAGTATGGCAAATTAAACCATTTGAATTCTTACAGGAGTCTTTTATCTTTTATCTGTTGCAAACCGAAATTGTTTCAGATTTGGTAAAAAACATAATTTTGCATTAAATTTTATTTAATGTCACAGGAACGTTTGTTGTTCCGTATACAATCAAGATGTTATATCCTGGATATCGAGGCCGGGTCTGGCGAAGGGATTCATGCAAGCACATGCAGAGAAGGCAGTGCAACCAGAGGAGAGGGGAAATAAATTTATATTCAGCACATGTGGGAAATATTAGACCTTCCTCCACTGTATGTCAAGTTAATCACAAGAAGAGACAAAACGCGTAATCAACCACCTTAATTGGTAAGTCTTCACAGATTGCAATGGATACACGGTCAAACTAGTCAACAAAAACCCGTCAACTCGACCCTACACCAAGAGAAAGAACACAGAGACATCAGACACAGGACAAGCCGGTCAGAACTGGACACCAGCTTGAAGTGATTTCCTCCGTGCTCCTAGAATCTTAGTGGGGTATTCATGTTAAACTGCGGCATGGTATCTCAGTGGCCTAGCACTATAAAACCGGCATTAGTCCGGACTAGTACAAGTGCGCGCGCGCACACACACACGCATGTGCGTGGGCGTTGCTATTCAAACCTCACCTCACCAGATATAACTGGAATAATGTTCAAAGCGGCGTCAAACCCAATTGACTCACTATTTCATTGGGTGGCTAGCGTAGTGCCGTTCGAATCTGGGGCAAAACATAAGCTATATCATGGACGTATTAAGTGTCCATGGCGATATTAGCGAACGGTTCCTATCGTGATAAAATGGGCAGATGACACACTGGAAAATCGACGATAATGCGAAACCTGCAGATGAATACCGGTAAACTTAAACTATCGATGACCGCAATGAAATGTAATTACTGGCAGTTACCATTTTTTCAGGGGTGAGATATCGCTGTTTCAGTCTCATTCAGAGGTCGTCCGCTGTGTTAAGTGCAAACTAGCCGTTAGGATTTCGTAAAATATGTGCGTACCGTGCCCGAAAAGACAAACTACCCGTCAAAAGGCAATGGAATCGTCCCTCGCATGCGTGGATCACCCTTTTCACAAATCTCACCCCCGTGAAGATCCGGGCTAGAATTGGTCTTCAGACGCCCATTCATGCTTGTCGTAAGCGGCGACGAACGGGATCGACATGTCATCGTATCCCATACGTGGGTCGATGCTCGTGATGTCAGTAACTGCATGGATTGTTTGGTCCAAACTCAATTATTTACAGACCGCCGTCACATAGCTGGAATATTGCTGAGTGCGGCTTTAATCAACAAACAAACAAGTTATCTCGGCGTAGTTCCAACACATCTGTATTAACCAGCATATTTCTATACACATACAGGTATAACTACATATAATATTGTAACAACGATACGTTACGTCATAACCATGATTGTTATATCCAGCGTTCGAAATACCTGCCTGCCCGACCGTCCGAGACGGGTTGATTTCAACTCGGGCTGCCAGATTTTCAAATCACCCTGTCCGACGGTCGGGTCATATTTCATAGGTGAAAATATTCTAAATATTTCCCGATGATAAGCATTAATTCACATGTAAAGAAGAATGATAAAATGTAACCAAAAAGATATCCCGTTAGCTTTTAGACAACCTAACATTTAGCGATGCGCTTTTGCTACAAGCAATCAGTTTTCATATTTTTAATTAAATTATCCTGAGAAACATATGATTATAGTGGGCAGGCAGATTTTGGTCAGGGCTGGCAAGTATTTCAGCTAGCCAGTCCTGTGGTCTGGCTGAATGTTTTGGGAGTTTCATACCCTGATATATCTGATCCTTTTAAATCCGGGCGATTCAACACAAACGTAACCGCCCTGACTAGCGAGGTTTCACGGTGTTTGTATTCTGTTCCCTTTCACCCAGATAAGTACAGTAAACCACGGTTATAACGAACAAGCTTATAACGAACTGACGGATATAACGAACTTACTTTTTGGTCGCGCCTATTTCCCGTAGTAATGCTGTATATATGCTTATAACGAACTACGGTTATAACGAACTAAAATTAGTAGTCCCTTTGAGTTCGTTATAACCGTACTTAACTGTATAGCAAGTATAAAATAACATACCACCTGAAGTTCGAACCACATTACTTTCAAAAGTGAAGCTTGAGTAAATGCCATTCTAATTTATGTATTGTCTAAATGATGGAAGCGATATATATTCCAGGAGTTGTGGATTTATTCTGTAACATGAAGAATTATATTCCACCACAAGTAAAGATATAAAAATAAAAAGTCGTCGAATCAACTTTTCCATTGCGGTATCCATTGCTGTTTTCAAGCATTACCTCCCTTGAATTAAGAGCAGCCATTGCCACCAGACTCGACGAAATTTGCGTGGTTAATTTCTAACGAATACGTTAATAAGCGCCAAGGAAGGAGAAACACAATCATCAATGCGGGTAATTGAATACTTTCCTGTTATTAATACTTTATTGTTTATTGCAGTGGCTATGGCGGACAATCTTAGTCTGCTCAGACAAACTACACGGATGAGTCCTGTTTGCCTGTGCATCACAGTTGCCACAGTGAATATATGGGATCACCAACAAGACATTGATGATGAATGTCATGTTACATAATAATCAAGACTGCAGTGTACCGGGCGCAGGTAACAGAGCTAACGGTTCCGACCTAATTAGCTCCTGATGCACGCTGTGGCTTTCGCTTCACTGATCTCGCGAGCCCCCTCAATCCGTAACTTGGGGTAACCCCTTTCCATCCCTAGAGTAAGGGACAGGTCGTTTATTATGGGAGGGGTGTGAGTGACTTAGGATAATATTTTCCGGACCCCACACCCAAGTTATTATATAACATTGTTTTAATGACACAACACAGACAGACACACGCACACGTACACTGATCTTACCTGATGACTATTATAATGCTGAAGACAACTGTTTACTGAAATAATTCCAACATTCAAGTTAGGGCTGGTAGACTCGAAAAGTTTGGGAGTGACACACTATCCTATTCAGTGACCCACTATCCTTTTACAGTGAAACTTTGCTAATCCAGACAGTATCTTTCCCTAGCCCTTGGATCCCTTTCCACTCATATACCCCTTTACGATCATTAGGGTTAGCAGTGCTAGAAGTTCATGGAAAAATCTGAACCCATCTGGAACCTGTATTGCAGTATTGCTCCTTACAGTGTTAGAATTGATGGGAATCATGGGGTCCTTGAGATTAGATCCTAAACAATTTCAATCACCTTGGAGTTGTAACTTTTACCATTAGGGTTGCATTAAGAACGGTATGACTTTCGTGCTTAGTTTCCAAGACTGTCTTACCTTCAGCATGTTCAGCATCTTCCTCCTTTTGCAGGTTTCATCGCAAGCCTGGCAAAGGGAGGTAACTGAACATGGCTGGGGAAGACTGTGTGTCGTTAGTCTGTGTACACAACCATTACATGTACATCAGGACTCTGTGTGATGGAGGAGTCGGCGTTGGCAAGGAGTAGTTCTGGCAACCATACAGTGTATTCAGTATTGTCCTGTTAAACGTGTTGAAAGAGAAACTGCTTATTTGTGAAAGATTCCAACTAGATTTCTACTTTTGAATGGCCTTTAGACTGGTTGTTCGTTGAATAAGTGGGACTTTCTACTTCTGTTGATGCATGTTTATAGCATTTATGAACGATGGATCCTGGGATATAGTGGAAAAGTTTCTTTGCAAGTGTTTGCAGTAAATATTGGCGGTTAATGATATCCGGCGTAGCAGTGTGGCTGTGTCCCCAAGGTAGTGATGGTCACAACTGGTTCTTGTTTGATAGGAATGCACGGTGGCAGCACCTTCGTTGCATCACCTTCGTTGCATCACCTTCACTGCATCACCTTCGTTGCATCACCGATAAAGGAAAGTGTCTGGGAAAAACATATTTGTGATTGGCTTCAAAAAGACCCCAGAGAAAATTGATGATTTATGATGTTGGAGATGTTACGAGTACTTCTGGTGGAGCTGCTCTCACACTGGGGAGAAGATTTACTGATGCCACATTAACATTATCCCAAAGTTTAATGTCACAGGAATAGATACCAAGAGTTATGTCAAAAAAATATGAAATTCGTTTCGGATGTTACTATGTTTCATGAGAAAATTGCTGGCGGACTAGTGGTCTAGTTGCCGTGTGAGTTCTGCTTTCATCATGCACAAGGGCCGACGCAAACGAGGCCAGCCAAAGGGAAGAGCCAAGGTGAAGAACAAGACAGAGGCAAGTCCAGAAGAGACCTTTTTGGCTTTTCTGCAGTGTTCGTATGTCCAGGCCACAGTGTCGGATGCTGCCTTGGAGGTAAGTCTGAAGGTCGACCCAGGGGTGAGCGACTCCCACAGACACATCTTCAGTGCATTCATTCATGGAGAAATCAAGTGCAGTGATGTCTCTGCTAAGATTCTGCCAGTTGAAGTGTATGAGAGTTGTGTTTGTGGAGAACAGATGCAGAAACAAGACACTGTAGTTAGCTTCAACCTTGTTGCCACTGATTTTAAGTCTGAATGTAACATCTGTCACGACCATGGAAGCTTGACCAGTAGATCCTGTGCAGACCAGAAGAGCTGTGCCAAGACTGGGGTGGTCACTGATGGAGACTCACAGGTGAAGGGTGATTGTGAACTTCACAAAGACATCTTTCCAGAATTGTCCCATCCTGGAAATGAAGCACCTGAAAATGATTCTCAAATTGAAAATAACAGTTTATCTAAAAGGCCGAGGAGATCTAGAACTAAAATGACGTATAAAGATTTTGAGAGTATGTCAGATAGTGAAAGCATAATGGATGATGTTGCTAGTGATGGTGGTGGTGATGATGATGACTTTCTCCTGGAGAAGGAACGGGAACAAGCTGCAGGAGCTGCGTGTGACAGAATGGGTGGTCGGGGAGGTGGGAGGAGGAGGAAGAATACTGTGATGGAGGGGAAAGGAGAGGACGAGGCCATGGGGGTAAATGCATCTGGATATAAATGTAAAACATGTGGCAAAGATAAGACAACTGTGACAGGAAAGGGTGAGAAGTGTCATAGCGGCTGTAAATATGCCAAGTGTGATTTGTGTGACAAACGGTTCAAATCGTTGGAAACGCTGAAAAAACATGAAAAAACTCATTCCACTTCTCTTTCCTTTGTGTGTTCTGACTGCGGCTCTTCCTTTCAGAGTGTACAAAATCTGACAAGACACATGAAAACTCATAAGGCTTCCAAGGTGTACAAATGTGGCACGTGTGGTAAATCTGTTTCTGATGCCTCCTCTCTGAGGGTTCACACTCGAATCCATACCGGCGAACGTCCGTATCAGTGTGACACGTGTGGGAAGACTTACACAGACTCCTCCGCGCTGCGCAATCACAGGAAGTGCCACAGTAAACAGAAGTTCAAGTGTGACTCTTGTGACAAGACATTCTCCTCCAAGATGTCCTTGAGAAGCCATCAGGGCATCCACACTGGACACCGTCCATTCACCTGCACTGTGTGTGGCAAAGGCTGTCTGACCAACTCTCACTTGAAAAGACACGCAAGGCTCCATACAGGTGTACGGTCACATAAATGTGACTCCTGTCCGAAGGCGTTCTTTGATCTGAGGGATTTGAGTGTTCACCGCCGGGTCCACACAGGAGACAAACCATTCAGTTGTACAATGTGTGACAAGACGTTCACGATGGGGAGCTCCCTGAAGAAGCACATCCTTCTCCACAGTGAGCTGAAGCCGTTCAAGTGTGAAGTGTGTGACAAGGAGTGTGTCACGGAGCTGCAGTACCGTTGTCACATGAAGATACACAGTGATGACAAGAAGTTTATCTGCGAGTTGTGCGGCAAGCGCTTTCTCACAGCAAGCAATCTCCACTCCCATGACATTACCCACAAGGGCTACAAGCAGCACAAGTGTGACCAGTGCGGGAAGAGTTATCGCAGCGCGTGGTACCTGCAGATCCACAGGAAGACTCACACCGGGGAGAACCTGATCCAGTGTCACTCGTGCGGGGACTGGTTCATCGATCCTTCCTACTTCAAGCTGCATCAGCGGAAGTACTGTAAGGGTAGACTGGAGTACTGCAGCGTGTGTGGCCGGGGATTCCCCACCAACCGCGACCTCACCAGCCACATGGGCATCCATACCGGGGAGAGGCCGTTTGGCTGTGAAACATGTGGCAAAGGCTTCGCTAAGCCTGAAGCTTTATCCGAACATGTCAAACGGCACACTCTTGAGAACTGCGTCCGATGCAAAGTGTGCAGTAAACCCTTCATTAACACAAATGAATTGCGGAAGCACGAAGTCAGACATGGAAAGGTGAAGCTTCGAGCAACACTCCCTGATAATCTGAAACCAGGCAACAGAGATATTGACATGCCCCAGACGGAGCCAGAGTGGGAGCCTTGTGACGGAGACTTGGAGCCAAGCACTACAGCAGAGCAGCTGTCATCTAGAGATGCAAGGTCCATGGCACACAGCACGACAGGGGATGGGAGACCTTCCAGTTATGCTGAGGCCACTGACTATGATACGGGCCATATATCACATGCCCCCGCAGCTCATGATATGGGCCATATATCACATGAACCCTCAGCTCATGATAAGGTCCAAATATCACATGCACCACCAACTCATGATATGCAACATATATCACATGCACCCTCAGCTCATGATACGCAACATATATCACATACATCCTCAGCTCATGATACGCAACATATATCACATACATCCTCAGCTCATGATACGCAACATATATCACATGCACCCTCAGCTCATGATACGCAACGTATATCACATGCACCCTCAGCTCATGATACGCAACGTATATCACATGCACCCTCAGCTCATGATACGCAACATATATCACATACATCCTCAGCTCATGATACGCAACATATATCACATACATCCTCAGCTCATGATACGCAACATATATCACATACATCCTCAGCTCATGATACGCAACATATATCACATACATCCTCAGCTCATGATACGCAACATATATCACATACATCCTCAGCTCATGATACGCAACGTATATCACATACATCCTCAGCTCATGATACGCAACATATATCACATGCACCCTCAGCTCATGATACGCAACGTATATCACATACATCCTCAGCTCATGATACGCAACATATATCACATACATCCTCAGCTCATGATACGCAACGTATATCACATGCACCCTCAGCTCATAATACAGGATATTTATCGCATGCACCCTCAAATCTTCATATGGGACATATATCGCATGCACCTTCAGGTCACACAGGACATATATCACTTGCACCCTCAAGTCATACGGGATATATGTCACATGCACCCTCAGATCCTGATACTGGTCAGTTTTCTCATATTCAGACCGGCCTTCAGTCAACTGTGGCCACCTTCAGACCAGAGGGGGACTACACCCAACCTTCCTCCAACCTGAAGCCAGGGGGTGGGGCTCGGAGCATGATATCCTCTGTTGGCGGCCCTGATAGTGGCCTGTATTCCAGCAGCCTGTCCAGTATTCACCAGGGGGACATGATGCTTCCCCGGGGTGACCACTCCACCATGATGGTGACCGACCAGGGTCAGATCGTGTATGACGGACAGCATTACAGCATCTGTGACATGCAGGACAATTCCTGACTGCATGTTAAGCGATGGTGACATCCGTTGTGATGCCCATAGAACAAGGTGTTGTTTTGCTATTTTGTATGTTTATATCCACAAATGAGTGGTGTTACCATTGTGACTCATACATGAAGGATTCAGTCATTCATAGACACTCACACTAATCATCTCATAGTTTGTAGATTGACTATCATTGTTGGTAGTAGTTTTCTCAGTGAATCTCACGTTCTGGTACCTCATTCCCATGGAACACTGAATGCTTGTAGATGAGGAATGTCACTGTAATCATGCAAGCCACAATCTGAAAATTCCACATGTTGAAAATTTATGTAGTCTTAATTAGGGCTGTTACGATTCACTCCCGTATTCGGTGAATCGAAACGTATCCATTCAGGAATTGAATTCGCTATTCGTGGCCACTAGAATCGAATATTTATGAATATGCAATCATGTGCATTTACATACCCTGTACCTAAACATATCCATAAGAACATATTATATGCATAGATTTCTTTCAAAGACAACACTCTTATGATATTTAATTTGACAGTAATGTTGTCACTGGTCATTGTCGCTTTTGAACAGATACTAGTTCCTGGATAAGTGCAGTATATAAATGTATAATAATGAATTGTATACAATAAATTAATAATTAACAAACCATGTCAAATAATTTATTTTGTTATTGTTTCACTGAATATAATAAATAATACATCAGCTGCTGACTTGTTATTGTATTTGTGAATTAATATTTCGTATTCTTTACCCTATATTCGTGATATGAATCATATTCGCCCCATAGTGTATTCGTTGCAGCCCTAGTGTTAATGATTACTTGCTCGCTTAAGGAAGAGAATATATGGATGTCAGCTTCTTTATTATGGGAAACACAATGTTTCGAAGTATATGCTTAGTTCTTCATCAAGGGAATGTTCTTATACCCAGAAACGTTGTGTTCCTCAATAAAGAAGTTGACATCCATAAATTCTCTTCCTTATGTGTATCACTTCTAAATGGGGGCACGGGTGGCCCAGTCGTCTAAGGCGCTGCCATTCGCTGTGCAGAGTTGCGTCCCTTGGGCACACCAGAAACCTATGATTGTGGGTTCTAATCCCGGTTCACCCCAATTATGTTTCTAGGTTTGTCAGCACCATACCCGTGCTCGTGGGTTTCACCGAAGTGGTAAACGTCTGAGACCTGCATCACTTTGGGCTTTCCTCCCACATTAAGCTGACACGCTGCGATATAACTGGAATACTGTTAAAAGCGGCGTTAAACCCAACTCACTCACTCACTCACTTCTAAATGCCTTTTAAAGACTTACTTGCTTACTGTGACAAACTGAAAGACATAGTTGCTTATCATGAACAGTTATGGGTGTCTGTTATTTCATCCATCAGTCTTGACCACTGTCCACATGATCATTGATTCATTCCAGGCTCTCAAGTAATAATCAAAACGTACAGTACGCTACAGCAGTTCATTACTAAACAGAACCCTCATATTGCCTGCAAGGACCCTTAAAATTAATTATTGGGGTACCCCGGACCCAAACTTTTGTAAGTCAAGGTAAACCCTGTTTGTGTGACCACCTCGGGAAAGGATGGCAGCCATACGTGTGTACATGGAGTGAAGGGCAGGGTGAAGGTCACTGGCACTTGGGGCCCAGTCGTCCAGGCGCCACGATTCGCTGTGCAGAGTTGCGTCCCTTGGGCACACCAGAAACCTATGTTTATGGGTTCGAATCCCGGTTCACCCAATTATGTTTCTAGGTTTGTCAGCACCATACCCATGTGTGTCTCTTTCTCTCTTTGTCTCTCTCTCACTCTCTTTCTCTCTCTTTCACTCACTCACTCACTCACTCACTCACTCACTCACTCACTGGCACTTGGGGCCCCACTGTGAGAAACCCCTGACTGAGTTCATCCAAGGTTGTCAGCCTTGGTCTGCTTAACTTCTTTGAGTGGCATTTAGAAGTTGGAATGGTAACTAAGACAAAATTGTTATGGATGAGCAACTTCTTTATTACAATTGGGCGACGTTTCGGTGTAGATTCTAACACCGTTATCAAGCAAATGATGTACAAACTACTTACTTACTTACTTACTTTGGAGATTTAACGTGCGCTTTCCGACTGATGTGTATTTCGCACACGGGCCCGGCCAGGCCATTTAATGTGTTTCCGAAAGGGGCGAAGGTGGTCTGTGCAACCCAAGAGGGGGGTTTTAGGGGTTGCTTATATAGAATTTGGGAATTTTGAGATTTGGAATAGATGCCGATGGGATTGGGGAGGAGAACTAAGGGAGCTGGGTATGGTGGATGTTTGTTTGTTTATGTGATTTTGATTTGGTGAGTTATTGTGTTTTTAGATGCGTTTTATTAGTTCCGTTTTGATTAAGAATACGCCTAAGGCCTTGAAGTTTTCTAGTTTATTTTGTGGGTTTAGTATTGCTTCTAGAGTTAGAGCCTTGTTTAGATTGAGGGTGGTTTGTAATGCGGTTCGATGTGTTAGGTAGTGTGTGCAGTGGATGAGTGCGTGTTCTGGGGTTTCTGGTTGTTTGCAGTGTGGGCAGTTACCTGTAGTGTGTTTTTTAAATTTTTTTTAGGTGGTTATTTAGGTTGGTGTGTCCTGTTTGGAGTTTAGTGATTACTCTGTCGATTTTTTTGGATGGATGGAGAATTTTTGGTTTGGTTAGTGGTTTGCTGAGCACTTTTTTGATTTGGCTATTTGAGTTTAGATATAGGTTATGCCATTTTTTGGTGATTTTTTGCTTGTTTACACTTTTAATTTCTGATTTTGAGATGGGTAAGTTTAAGCTTATTTCTGGGATTTTGAGGGATAGTTTAGCTGCTTTATCGGCGTTTTCATTACCGTATATTCCTACGTGGGCGGGTATCCACAAGAAGGTTATTTGTTTGCCTGCCTTAGTTAGGTCGTTGGAGCTTTTAAGTATTTGATTTATTAATTTAGGTCGGTTTTTGGTATTTTTGTTTTGGAGGGCTTGCAGTCCACTTAGGGAGTCGGTAAGTATTAGGATTTTTTTGTGGTTTTTGGATTCTTGATTATGGAGGGCTGAGGCAAACTAGGTATGAGCATGATATATATACATAACAATAGATAGATGTTTATATAACAAAACAACACTGAACTATTATCTCCCCACTGGCTTCCCATACATTCCTTCTTAGTAATCCTTGTGTTAATCCCATACCCATCAATCACTGTACATCAACCCTATCTCTTGTATAAACTTGTTTATCATAACTACCTATCAATCAGTGTACATCAACCTTATCTGTTATATAAACATCTATCTATAACTGAGACACTGAAGTACTGTTCAGAGTAGTTTCATCTTAAAGTTTTAGATATTGCTCTGTTCTAAACAAAATTACTAACAGTCAGACGGCCAGTTTTAACCTGTTAATATACCTGTGACACTGTTCAGATCTACACTTGAGACACTGTTCAGATCAATATCTGATAAACTGTTCAGATTGATAACTGAGACGCTGTTCAGATCGAATCATGATAGACTGTTCAGATCAATACCTGAGACACTGTTCAGATCGATAACTGAGACACTGTTCAGATCAATACCTGAGACACTGTTCAGATCAATACCTGTGACACTGTTACGATCAATACCTGTGACACTGTTCACATCGATAACTGTGACACTGTTCAGATCGATAACTGAGACACTGTTCAGATCAATAACTGAGACACTGTTCAGATCAATACCTGAGACACTGTTCAGATCGATAACTGAGACACTGTTTAGATCGATAACTGAGACACTGTTCAGATCAATACCTGAGACACTGTTTAGATCAATACCTGTGACACTGTTCACATCGATAACTGTGACACTGTTCAGATCGATAACTGAGACACTGTTCAGATCAATACCTGAGACACTGTTTAGATCAATAACTGAGACACTGTTCAGATCAATAACTGAGACACTGTTCAGATCTACACGTGAGACACTGTTCAGATCGATAACTGAGACACTGTTCAGATCGATAACTGAGACACTGTTGAGATCAATAACTGAGACACTGAAGTACTGTTCAGAGTAGTTTCATCTTAAAGTTTTAGATATTGCTCTGTTCTAAACAAAATTACTAACAGTCAGACGGCCAGTCTTAACCTGTTAATATAACGGTTTGACTTAGTCTACCTTTTGTTTTTTGTTCATGGATTCAAATTACAATATTTTCTCCTGTTGAAAAGTTTCATGTTCTCAGAACGTTATCATGGTTATATGTTGTTCTTTTAATGGATCATCTTGTGCGGTTATATCTCCCCTTCCCCCTCTCCCCAAAATGCCTTTGGAAATGATACTGTAATAAGAAACATAAAGAATTGTTTTAAAGTTCAAAATATACATATTTTCAGTCACAGAATTTGTTTGTCATATTTTCGTTTGAAGACCTACTGGGGATGGTCGTATGCATGAGTGGCGGTCGGGTAGTCTTGTGGTTAAAGTGTTTGCTTGTCACGCCTAGGACCTGGGTTCGATACCCAACATGGGTACAATGGGTGAAGCGCATTTCTGGTGTCTCCCGCCGTGATATTGCTGGAATATTGCCAAAAGCGGCGTAAAACTGTACTCACTCACTCACTCTTACGCATGACTCCAGTAATCCTGTCCAGACCCATGCCTTGTCAACATGTAGTAAGGACCAACCATTAAAGCTTAACATGTGTTAGAGCCGTGCAAACTTTCAAGGCCATTTCCTGTTCTTTCAGTGCTTATGGTATGGATATGACCACGTTATGGATACCAGCACTGAGAGGAAATTGGTCAGTGATCTGGAGGTGGTTCTGTGAAAATCAAAGTGAGTGACTGTCATGTGTTTTGTGAGTAACTAGCTGGTCTAAAGGATCCTGGTCCCAGGGATGTGATTCTGGCACCTTCGTTCCTCACCTCTGGAAATAACAGGAAGACTTTGGCATTTGAATTGATGATGACACGATCAAAGAAAGAGATGTCACAAGTGAAGGGAGGGGTCGGACTGGTTGAAAATGACATTAACAAATCGCATCTTCAGTGCTCCGTTTCCAACATTAGTTTTGTGCTTGGAGCTCTAGAAATGAGATTGAAGTTTGAATATGAAGGTGGTGAGAATCCACACTATGAAGATTTTGTCCAGGGCACAGTGACCGGTGTTTCAGAGGGTAGGTCTGTGGTGGCTGATGACTGCCCAGATTGTGGTGAGAAGGGTCGACAGACTGTCCTTCATGTCACGGTGACAGCTGTCAACAGGTGCTCCTGTATTGTCTCTGGTGACAAGTCTGTCACTGACACTGGAGACAGTCGGGTTGATGAACAAAGATGCTGTGGTACAGTGTCTGGTGATGAGAATGTTGACTCTAGAGACGCTAGTCAGGATGACGGCGGTACGTGGGGTATGAAGGGACTGCCTGTGGTACATGTGCTGAATGAGACCGCTGATGGAGACAGGACGTTTTCGCCCACTGTATCAGGCTGTAGGAAGCAATGTTCAGGTGCAGGAAATAGGAATAGAACTTCTGATTCAGTTGACACCCTGAACATGGAAAAAGGAAATGTACAGAGCAGTGTCAGTGATCGTCTCAGGCGGGGTGGGCGAAAGAGACCAGCAAGAAAGACTGACGACACCAACCTGACAGCATTATGCTCATTGACCGACCAAGCAGTAAGCAGATCAAAATGCCCCAGAACTTTGCCGCCAACTCGAAGAACAAAAAGGAGAGAGAATCCAGAAAGTGTGAACTTATATAATAAATCAGATGACATCCCTTGTTCTATGTGTGATAATGTATTTAAGGCAAAACTGGAGTTGACAAAGCATATGAAATCTGTACATGTTGAGAAATGTTACAATGGTGACAGCAGTGAGCAATCCTGCGATGACTCCCAAGCTAGGAGACTTCAGAGGAGCGTCCATGATGGAGGGCAGCCCAGCCAGCGTGATATGTGCGAGAAAACCAACATGGCCACGACTCGCCGCACAAAGCACACGGCTGACAAGAGCTTCAAGTGTGATCAGTGTGGGAAGTGCTTCCATTTGAGGACACAGTTGCAGGCTCATCTAAGTGTCCACACAGGAGATCGACCTTTCACGTGTGGTTTGTGTGGCAAGCCATTTGTGTCGAGGCTACACCTCCAAAAGCACATGAAACTCCATCTGGGAGGGAAACGGCACACATGTGACCTGTGTCCTAAAGCTTTCCTATCGGCCAAAGATCTGGAGTACCACCGTACCAAGCATACAGGAGATAAGAAGTTCAAGTGTGACGCCTGTGGAAGGACATTCACGGTCAAGGCATCTCTCAAGAAGCATCTCCTACTGCACAGAGATGTGAAACCATTCAAGTGTGGATGCTGCCAGAAGGACTTCGCTTCCAATGGGCAGCTTCAGAAACACTCCAAGATCCATAACACTTTGAACCCTCTTGTGTGTGAGATCTGTGGCAAGACCTTCCCCACCAACAACTACCTCCAGTCACACAGGAAGACACACATTGGGTATGAGAAGTATCGGTGCGAGGTGTGCGGGAAGTCCTACCGAGAAGCTGCCTATCTGAAGATCCACATGAAGTCGCACACCGGGGAGGGGCTTTTGAAGTGTGATCTGTGCTGGGAGAACTTTGCCGACCCTTCATACCTGAAAGTCCACAAGAGGAGGTTCTGCCGGAGCAAGACTGTGCAGTGTGAGGAATGTGGTAGAGAGTTCGTCAACCAGAGGGATCTGCGGCTGCATCGTGGAGTACATTCTGGAGAACGCCCTCACGAGTGCCGTGTGTGTGGCAAGGGCTTTCTGAAGGCTGATGCTTTGTCTGAACATGCTCGTCGTCATGATGATAGCTTGAAAACACATAAATGCGATATTTGTTCCAAGGGTTATGTATGTGCGAGTGACTTGCGGAAACATAAGAAAACGCACAATAAGGTCAAAAACAGGATTCAGTTACCAGATAAATTCAAATATGACATTGAAAAGAGTGATATGAAAGTGTCACTAGTCGAAGCACAAGGAGTGACAGCAGAAATATCCAAACATCCAAATCTTTCGCTGGAAGTATCAGACATTCAAATTATTTCATTACCAGCCGAGGTTGAGGCAGAGAATCCTGAAACCCAGAGCAGGGAGGAATATGGCCATGGTGACATAGACGAAGGAAAACCCAGCAAGGACACTATAGCCAGCGTGAACACCAGTGAGAAGGACCTAGTCAAGAGGGAGTCCGGGGGAAATAATCGACTTCAACAGTCCAGCAGCCAGGGTGCATCAGGTGCTGATGAAATTGTCAAGGCAGAAGAAGATATTGTCAGTGCACAGGCCAGTTATAATCTGGTCAAAACCAAGGCCAGCAAAGATCAGGTCACTGGACAGGGAGGCAAAGATCAGGTCAGTGTACGAGTCAGTGAAGGTCAGGTCACTGCACAGGGAGGCAAAGATCTGGTCAATGTACGAGCCAATGGATGTCAGGTCAATGCACAGGCCAGAGAAGATCACCTGAATGAAGAGGACGATAGTGACACCAGTGCTACTGAGCGGTCGAAAGAGGAGTCTGAAGACATGTTGCTGGACACTGCCAGTATCTCGTCCCCCATCCACCTGGACTCCCTGGACCCCAACTCCAGCTTGGAGAATGCCCTGAACGCCCTGATGAGCGACACAGACCAGCTGCTCACTAACGTCTACTACAAGCTGAATCTCCCCGGGCGGTCTCCCACCTAGCTGAGGCATGATTGTGTAGGTCTGTTAATTAATTAGCAACACTTATCATATTTCCCTTTGTACAGAGTGTGCTTTAAAAAGACTAACAGTACAGCTGTGTAGAGCTACTATCAGCTCAGCGTACCTCCCATCCCCTGTGGGAAGGGTTAGAATAGGTCCTCCCGACAGTACAGCTGTGTAGGGTTACTATCAGCTGAATGTCCCTCCCATCCCCTTTAGGAAGGGACCCGTGAAGATCCGGGCTAGAATAGGTCTTCAGCAAACCATGCTTGCTGTTAAAGGTGACTATGCTTGTCGTAAAAGGCGACTAACGGGATCGGGTGGTCAGGCTCGCTGACTTGGTTGATGCATGTCATCAATCCCAATTGCGTGGATCGATGCTCATGATATTAATCACTAGATTGTCTGGTCCTGACTCGATTATTTACAGACCGACGTCATATAGCAGGAATATTGCTGAGTGCGGCGTTAAACAACAAACCAAACAACCAACCAACTGTAGGAAGGGTTAGAACAGGTCCTCCAACAGTACTGCTGTGTAGAGTTACTATCAGCTCAGTGACCCTCTCATCCCCTGTAGGAAGGGTTAGAATAGGTCCTCCAACAGTACTGCTGTGTAGAGTTACTATCAGCTCAGTGACCCTCCCATCCCCTTTAGGAAGGGTTAGAATAGGTCCTCCAACAGTACAGCTGTGCAGAGTTACTATCATCTCAGTGACCCTCCCATCCCCTTTAGGAAGGGTTAGAATAGGTCCTCCAACAGTACAGCTGTGCAGAGTTACTATCATCTCAGTGACCCTCCCATCCCCTTTAGGAAGGGTTAGAATAGGTCCTCCAACAGTACAGCTGTGTAGAGTCACTATCAGCTCAGTGACCCTCCCATCCCCTTTAGGAAGGGTTAGAATAGGTCTCCAACAGTACAGCTGTGTAGATTTACTATCAGGACATCCAATAGTTTCAAGGACATCCGATAGTTTATCTCATACCAATGGTCGCAAAGACCCTTCATTATCTATGGATATGAATATGTCGATTGCACCTGGCACTGTTTGGAAAGTTCCATTTTCCTCGCTACCATTGATGACCTCTGCCAAACCTTTCCCACATGGCAAGGAATCCAATCATCCATGGGATGTTTGCTAAAAACTCACATATCTGGATTCTATCGAACATTGTAATTATGCCAACACCCTAAGGATTCTGAAGATGCCAACCGTTTCCTCCACTGGTATTGGTTCTCTTACCCAGTTCCTAATAGGTTACTCGAGGGGCGGTCGGGTAGCGTAGTGGTTCGATTCCCGACATGGGTACAATATGTAAAGCCCAGTTCTGGTGTCCCCGCCGTGATATTGCTGGAATATTGCTAAAAGCGGTGTAAAACCAAACTTACCGGTACTCACTAAGTTGCAGGTGCTCCTTCACTTCAGCAAATGTGTGTTAACCTACCAGTCATTGTCAATACCATTATGGTACATACTTTCACACAAAGCGATATCTCTGTTAGTCTTCCATACATATTTGACTTGATATGAACCAGTATTGTCAAACCAAACTGGTTAGGAAATTGTCTCCTTAATCTTCTGTAATATGACATAAGTCTTTCCATGGTGAACACTTGCCACCAAATGATGCTGACGATGTAGCTTTTGGACTTACTGACCTCAATATACAACTCCTGACTTGCGAACGCCTAGTAATGTTACTTTTCCTCACGTGTGCCATAATACACACGTGTAACTTTGTATACGTGAGCAAAAGTTGGCGAAAGAGGCAGCTAACTGGATCGGATCGTCAAGCTCAGTTACTTGGTTGATAGTGTGTCATTGTACAGGAAGGGCGCTGGACGCTGCTCATGATATCGACCACTGGATTGTCTGGTTCAGACTCCATTATTTACAGGCTGTCATCATATCTCTGGAAACTAGCCGACAGTAGGGGTGATTGTTATCTCTGTAGGCTCTGTAGCTCTCTGTCTGTAGGTATGACAAAATGTCGCTGGAATCTCTTATCAGATTATTAGGAGAATGAAACTGTCTTACTTTTTAGTGTCACATCTCAATGTATACTACTCCACTTGTGATAGGGATATTCAGATCTGTCATTCTATCTAAGTATACACTTGGCATATTATGAAAATATATTTTGTGTATATGAAAAGATAAGAAAAATCCCTATCAAAAGTGGTGTACTATGCTCAAGGAGTGAAAGATTTACTCCCCACTCTCATCTGTCATGTGGGGCAGTCGGGTAGCCTAGTGGTTAAAGCGTTCGCTCATCACGTCGAAGAACCGGGTTCGATTCCCGACATGGGTACAATATGTGAAGCCCATTTCTGGCGACCCCCGCCGTGATATTGCTTGAATATTGCTAAAAGCGTCGTAAAACCATACTCACTCACTCACTCATCTGTCATGTCAAATTGCAAAGGAAAAAATTAGCACTTGCAGCATTTATTCAGTCATTGGGTCTGACATCTCAAGAATTTGTCTTTTCAACAACCATTGCATTAATACGTTACCTCCATGTGTCTTTACTGCACAATGTTTTTGACCCATGCATGACATCTTGAGTTGGAGACCTGCTAATGGTTCCTGGTTTGTCAGTGGGTTTTACAGTACCGCATCAGGTAGGGCTTCCCTCCCACATTAGTTGACATGATGTGATATGTCTGAAATACTGTTGGTTTAATTCTCACTCACTCACTCACTCACTCACTCACTCACTCACTCACTCACTCACTCACTCCAACCATGGCATCAGTATTACTGACTGGCCTTGAGCAACTTTCACTCGCCCGCCCAACCGCCCGCTCACTCACTCACCCACCCAACTCCTACTCATATCCACCCACAACTCACTCACTCACTGCAGTGTTGCTGATTGGCCTTGTACTCGTTCATTTACTAACCTGTGTTTTCATTTTCTTGCAGTTTGGTAAATCAACCACTGAAGTCCATCCAGGACGAGGGCGGAGAAACCACGTACTGTCAGGATGAAGCTGTCCTTGTGAAGGCATAAGGCTCAAGCTGTCTGTGTAAATGCGTAAGACCCAAGTTGTCCATGCGAAGCTGTCCTTGTGAAGCCCATTGGCTGAGGTGGTAATGATGAATGTCCTCATAAAGCTGTATGGGAGAAGATGAATCGGCCGAGGAAGATGAGGGAACCAGTGAAGCTGGACCCACCCAGCCGAGGTGGCGTCAAGTCCAAGCAGGACCTGATCACAACTATCCTCCAATGCTCGTTCACGCACGCTTCTGTACAAGACGGGGCTCTTGACCTGACTCTGAAACTGGTGATGGGAGAGGAAGGGGCTGATAGGCAAATGTTCCGTGAGTTTGTCAGCGGGGTTGTGACCTGTACTCAGGTCGTAGCGGAGTCTGTCTCCCCCGGTGAAGCGGACGGGTGTGACAAGTGTGGTGATAAGCTGGAGAAGATGCAGACATGGATCCGTATCAATCTGAAATCGGTGGATGAGAAATGCGCCTGTGGTCCTGGAGTAGATGTTGTAGGCATTCCAACTCATTTCAAAAGTGAATCTGATAGTGCAGTTCTGGAAAACACTATAAGGTCAAGAAGAAACAGTGTGGACCCAGCAGACTCAGTGACAAGGGATGACGATGACGATGATGATGATGATGATGATCTTGACACACATTTGGATGAAGAAAGGGACAGAGCAGCTAATGATGATCAACAATTAAAAGTTAAAACAGTTGATTCATCAATGGAGGATATGGAGAACAATGAGGTGTTTACGACTTATTCAGGGAGACCCCGACGATCTTGTCGACCACGAGAGCGGTATGTCTTAGCCTTGAAAGCATTGAAAGAGCCAGAAAATTGTCCTATTAAAGCTTTAGAGGATGTGGAAGGAGAAACATCTGTCCCAGAACAGACACTTGAATGTCATGATCCACCCTGGGAAGAGACAGACATTGTTTCGGAGGCAAACAATCCACAAGCATTCAAGAAATCAAAAACTAAAAGAATTATGGTTAAAAAACCTGTGACCAGAAGTCGTCTCCAAAACATAAGAAAAGCAAAGCATAAAGCTGAGTCAGCCGAGGACGAGCCCCAGGTGGCGGCTCGCAAGGTTTGTGAAACGTGTGGCAGTGAGAAGAGATGTGCCTGTGCAAAGCAGTATAGATGTCCCATCTGTGACAAAGTGTTTAAACACGCGTCCAACCTGCGGCAGCATAAGGCCTCGCACACGGACGCCAGGCCCTTCGTTTGTGATGTGTGTGGTCTGGGGTTTAAGACACGAACAAATTGGAAGACCCACAAATATCGCCATGCAAAGGCATTCAAGTGTGATATCTGTGACAGGGCGTTTAGTCTGGCGCCTGCTCTAAAATACCACATCCGTACCCACACGGGGGAACGTCCATTTCAGTGTGATACTTGCGGCATGACCTTCACCTCAACGGGTGGACTCCGTGCCCACAAGAAGAGACATCTGTCGAAAGAGAAGTCATTTATGTGCAGCTTGTGTGACAAAGCATTTATGACCAAGACAAATTTGGAGACGCACATTCGAATTCATAAGGGAATACGTCCCTTTGCCTGTCCGTACTGTCATCTTCACTTCGCTTCCCGCCCCCATCTCAACAAACACAAGCGACAACATACAAAGGAGAAAGAATTCAAGTGTAGTTTCTGTTCCAAGGCGTTTTTCACACAGAAACTTCTCGATGTACATCGGAGCAAGCATACAGGTGAGAAGAGATTCTCGTGCGAAGTGTGTGGCAACAAGTTCATCACATCATCCACCCTTAAGGACCACCTGCTTCTGCACAGTTCGGTGAAACCGTTTCAGTGTCATGTGTGTCAGAAGGAGTTCGCTGCCAAGAAGACACTGAAGAAGCACATGCAGATACACAACACAGAGAACCCTTTGGTGTGTGAATTCTGTGGCAAGAAGTGTCCAGCTCCCAAATACCTCAAGAGCCACATGAAGATGCACACAGGGTACGAGAGACACCAGTGTGACATCTGTGGCAAGAGTTACCGAGATCCCCGCTACCTCAAGATCCACATGAAAAGCCACACAGGCGAAGGGCTGATTCAGTGCAGGACCTGCGGAGAACATTTTGCAGATCCTGCGTACCTCAAGCTCCACCAGAAGAAACACTGCAAGGCCAGGAAGGAGAACTGCTACGTCTGTGGACAAGGATTTGCTAATAACAATGACCTTGTCCTGCACATGGGGCTTCACACAGGGGAACGACCGTTTGGATGTGAAACATGTGGGAAGGCTTATACCTCTTCGGAAGCCTTAGCAGAACATGCCAAACGCCATGACTTGAAAATGAAAACGCATCAATGTAGCATCTGTTACAAACGTTTCTACACGGCCCACGACCTGCAGAGACACACGAGGCGCACTCAGTGTTCGAAGGGGTCGCGATTTGACGCGACAGGTCACAATGCTTTAAAGCCAGTGGCTGTCAGCTCTGGAGGAACAGGGACAACCTTGGAGGCTGAGCTGGGACCTGGTCGATCCTCCAACACCCAAGTCGAGGAACATCTCACACACTCAAGTGAACACAGAGTGACACACCCAGGTCAGTGTGAGGAGCACACGCTTAGTCATCCTCAATCGGCCAACAAACACATATTGACTCATCAGTTTTCACAGTTGGCCAAGGAGCCTACAGCAATCCTTCCAATAAACCGATCTTCTGAGGAACATGTGGCAGCCCCTCCTTTGAGTCATCTGTCCACACAGAGCCCTCTGACTCAACCCTTGTGTCATCTGTCAGGGGGCATTCAGCCTCCAGCCCCGGGTGCTGACTCAAGTGGCTCCACACAGATAGGGAGCAGGGTGGAGATCCCTCTGTCCAGCACATCAGGAGGGGGTCTCATGACCATCGACAGCTCGATGATCGACTCGCGGGTTCAGGTGGCTAGTGGTGGACCAAGCATGGAGTCGTCCGTCAGTCTGGCAGCTCTCCCTGTGTCTGGTGGGACCTCCTACATCATGTACGACATGCTGCAGGCGGGGAAGGACGCCCACCCAGAATGAGCTGCTGCTGTCTGGAAAGTAAGTTTTGTCTGTTTATTATTTAACGCCGCTCTCAGCAATATTCCAGCTGTATGCCTATAAATGCTTGTGTGTTTGTTGTTTAACGCCACTCTCAGCAGTATTCCAACTGTATGACGGTGGTCTGTAAGTAATTGAGTCTGTACCTAACAATCCAGTGAGATACGAAGACATGCATCAACCAAGTCACCTAGTCTGACCACCTGATCCTGCTATGACAAGCATAGGTTGCTGAAGATCAATTCTCACCTGGAATTAGTGGCATTTTAATTGACTTGTGGAATTCAAATTAAATTTTTCTTTCTTCAGGGAATTGTTTGGTATTAAATAAAGGTACGAGTATCTGTACTTAAAAATTGCATTGAACATTGATAAGAAGAATGTGAAATCCATGAGACAATCTTGTCTTTGATACTTTTGGTATTTTGGCGTTACAGAAAGATTTATTTTTTAACTTATCCTGCATTACTACGTATTGCATTACTGCTGTCTTTTGACAGAGAGACGAATTGTGTGAGATCCAGCTGCTGAAGTAAGTTGTTCCCACCGGTACAGGAAGCATCAGCGCCCCCTCACAGTCGGCACGTGACCCGGAAGTCATGACGTCACATCAAAACACATAACTGCTTTGTCACCTACAAGGACAGACGTACTTTGTATCCCTATGGAAACTAAAGCTTATTTTTTCTTCTTTTTTGCGTGTTTCTACATTCATTGTATGCTGCTACATTGTTACCTGTTTATGGGCTGTTACCTTTAGGGTGTTCCCACTGTAATTTGTAACGTTTATCGCTCATTTGTGGCTCTAGTCACAGTAATTTACGGGCGCAATGTTGTTCCTGCCATTTTGTTACTTTCCCGCCATTTTTTGCCGTGATTGTAAGATGCCCTGTACTTTCACAACACAGTGCCGATGTTGCAGTCCTTCATCGCTGTGCCCCTTCAACTCGAAACGAGTATCAAGGACACACCTCACTCAACGTGCTCGTCAACCCCTGATATGGCTTACAACTCGGAGACTGCAGTCTTTCTACACCACAACAACATCGTCCCTTCCGGTGACGCCCATAACGGGACCGGTCTTCCGTCTCTTCCACCATCTACGTTGACAGCAGCGACGCCATCGGCTCTCCCGACGCCAACGGTGCCTGAGTGTCTCAGCCCAGCTTCTTGGTGCCTCTAGTTCATGGCGCCCCCGGCGCTTAGATCAACAAGCTTCAACAAGCTTAGTATCTCTACCGATCTTCTACTTCGACATAAGGTACGCCATCGGCAATTGCCTCTCCGGCGCCACTGACATCTGCTTCTATTCCTGACATCTCATAGACTGTCACACAGAGAAGCAAGGTGAAACCATGTCTTTCAAGGACAGGACAGCATCTGTATCAGAGCTGGCAGATCTTCACTGTTTAGGCTCATTAAGCCTGTTTGACCCCTTCGTCATAGGCTACCGGGTACCCACGGTGTATCATATCGCTCTGCACCGGCCCCGCCATTCGACGACAACATCCACTGTCTTTTTCGTCGATATTGCTGGCACCAACGCTCCACTACCCTGCCTTAGCGCCAGCCTTCCTCAAAGAGACTCTTCCTCGGCGCTCCCCGGGTTTTACATGGCGCTCCCGGTTTTTTCGCAAAACTCGGGTACACCACTTGTATGTCTACTACACAGTTCATTGAGGATTGTCTGTGTGTGGAGATTGCACCTCATTTCCGGCTCCAATGCAGCTTTCTCAGCTACTGCGCAGAGTGATTTACATGTCACATGTCAAGAACTTGTAGAGCTGGTTTATTTTGTCTACATGGGGTTTGGTTCGCAGGCTAGACCACCTCTCCACATATCGTCCCGACGGTACATAATGACCCCCGTTGCTGACTTTTCAACTTTGAAGTCTTGTAGACGACCTCATTTACCATGACTTCCCGCTCTTCCACTGCCGCTTCCACCTTGTCAGTGGCTAGTGTTCTGGGATTGCCCACACCAGCCCACGTTGTGACCGACTGTGATCCGGAGATCAACACCATTGGCACAGCAACAGCCTCGAG